AGACTGCCAACAGTTTTGAGCCAGCAGTCCTGAGAAAGCCAACATTTGCCAGCCGATCGAAAGGCTGTTAAGCGATAGATTTCTACATATGAAATACCCAGCATAACATGTGTTATTCCCTTTTAAGCAAGGGTAACTTTGTAATTTTATATTTATCATAATATCATTTATAAATAGTAGTCTTTTCATGTTTTAGGGACTCTCTTTTTGCTCTTTTTCTAGCTCTATGTAACCTTTATTTTTGATGAAATAAGATGGTTCTCATGAGCTCGGGAACACCACACCCATTTCGCCCATACGAGGCAAGTCTTATTGTTTTCTCTGCCTCTCTCTCTCCCCCTCTTTTTTTTCTCTTTCTCCCCCTTGATCAATATGCTCCATTCCTTGGTGTGATCTACCAAAAAAATTTGGATTCAACGATCATGAAAATTATAAAGATCTTAAAAATAAAAAAAAACTACAAAAATGATGTTTATCAAATACTTTATTTAGATAATTGTTCATCTTTGAGCAAAATAAACAAGAGTAATAAAGCACCAAACTTAAAAAATAGAGAAACTCATATACAACTTGCTTTTTATTCAAAGTTTTTTCATATAATCAGTAAGTCTAGTTCTTATATTAATTATAGATTTCATATGTTATAAATATTGTATTGGCTACTCCATTAACATGCTCTTTTTATATCATCCATTATAGTGAGTAGCCACATTTCAACTAGTAATGCATACATAGCTCATGCACTAAGTTGATTCTGCAAGACTATAACAAGAATATATATTGTCTCTAGAACTTTTATAAGCTTCAAAAATCCACTTAAGCATCCTCAACACATAAACAAATTTTAATAAATCAAGAGAAATTTTATAAGGATGTGGAAAGACATTTCAGGGAATTGCTTTCTATTTTACTATGGGGACAATTACACTTATCCTTTTTTAACTCTTTTTTGTTTTGTCATAAGATATTTCTCATGCATATTTTTTTTATAGATGATAAGCCTAACATGATCAAGTTAATAATCCCTTTTCTTAGATGAAAATTTATCATTTTACTATTTTTATCCTTAAGATTGTAAAAGAGATACTTATTATATAATTTTAAAAAATATATAAATGATTAACACATTGCTTCCTTGTGTCAACTCTGCGAGTTTATGTTAGATGATCGATTAGTAGAATATAAACTAAAAAAAATATACATATGAGTATACTTAAGATGTAATATAATAATACATTATTATAGTTACAATAATCTAATTTAATTAAATAGTTGTAATAAAATCTTATAGATTCTTAAAAAAATTATGAACGAAGTAGCAAATTATTAAAAATATAAGATTTTAATCTAACATGATTATCACACACTACAATGGACTAAAATATTCTTGTCTCCACTCACCCTTAAAGACAATTAACAATAAGAGAAATAGTATTAAGGAAATAGTATCAATGCTTAATAAATAATAATTTAAAAAAAAACTACTCTATTGTATGCAAATAATAATCGTGTAGAGAGAATTGTAAGGTTAATGTCCTTATTTATTCGGAACATAGAGCTTAGGCACTTTGGGAGTAGCTAACCAAATTGCAAGTGACTACTCCCTAAAGTCTTTAGGTGATCAACTTTACTAGGTAATGCCTGCCTATGCTAGTTTAGAGGCTTGATACCAAGACACATACAAGTATGCATTTAAAGGCTTCAAATTATATGAAATGAGGTACAACATAGGTGTTTTGGTCAACTTGACGGTTCTTGAAAGCAGCTAGTATGATGATTTCCTCGACTAAACTACTCAATCCTTCCCTCTTAGTAGTTAATTTTTTTTTCTTTGTTTGATCTTCTTTATATGTGGTAGAATCAGATATTTCTTTCAATATAATTTTGTTCACTCTTAAAGATGTAAATTCTTTTTGTATATAAAAAGAATGCTATCAATTAAGTTTATTTTGCGCTCATCTATTTTTATGGAGTGTTTTTCCACTATTTGTAGATTTTTTTTTGCTCAAAATGTGAACTCAGAGTCAATAAATTTTAAAGGAATTAGGGAAGTTCCCTTTGATGTTTGGCTTTATATGTAAGACACCACATTTAAAGATAGCATATTGAAAATGATCGACATAATATTCTATCAAATAGCATAGGTGTTCGATATGATACTTATAGGGAAGTGTTCTCCCATCATCCTTGTTTAGAACACTGGTTATAGTGTAGAGACTGAGCTCACCAATTCACAATATCACTATAAGATGACATGATTGATAAATGACACCTTATGTGATTCTACTTCAATTAAGAGAAATTGGAAGGAGAATGTTGGAAGATCAAATTGATTAGGTATGTGCCATTTAAGATTTTTAAAAAGTCATGCATGATGCACATTAGTTAATATAACTTTAAGTATTATACTTTGTAAATAAATAGTGAAAGAGCTAAATTCAAACCATCTCAACCCTTTTGGGTTTTACCATACTAAAGCTCAATCTATCACAACTTTATCAATTTAAATTGGACATCTTCATTGCCATGTCACTTACTTGAAAATCTTTTTTTTTTTTTAAATAAAATAGGAACATTTACATATATATATATACCATCAAATTCCTATGTATTTATATATATTAACACATGAACTTTGTTTTTTTACATTTATATCACCTAAATCAGTCATGTCACATAAAAAAATACCATCATTTTAATTCTTAAAAAGTGAAATACACCTTTTCATGCACAGGCAGGATGATATGTACGTAAAAATTGAAGTTTAGGCAATAGACATGTAAATACGTAGGAATAGAGCGGTAAGCAAGTAAATCTTGCAGTAAAATAATATATATCAATTAAGTTATTTAAGTCCTCATGTACCACTGCAACATAGTATTTAACTAGTCAATAATTATTATGTTTGTTTTTTGTTAATTCAATATTTTACTCATTCTAAAATTAACTTGAATAATATTCAATTATACTATTGATTTGATTATTAAATATGATCAACTAGTATTAGTAATCTTAATATTTCAAATTTTGCTCCACTTCCAAATTTACACACACACACACACCCACACACTAAAAAAAAATTTTTTTTTTTAATTTTATTAAATTAATATTAGTGATGTTAATACTTATATATTTTATAATTTAGATATATAAATAAATAAAAATTTTATACTATATGGAAATTCTCTTATAACTTCCTATCTTAATATACTTGTTTTTAATTAGTAGGATAAGATATATATTCAAAATAGGTTGATATTTTATTAAAATTACATAATTATCAAAAATTGTCTTAAGATGGAAAATAATAAATTTGAGAGTTGTAAAATAGATATATTGCTTTTATATAATATTCTTTTACATTTTTAACTAAGATCATTAAGAAGCCCCTGATACTATTAACAAATGAAATATATATATATATGAGGTTCGAGATTAACACAAAATCATATTATTTCAGTTTCCACTAATTAGATTGTAAATTGTATGTTATATAAATTTTTATTAGAAATCATAGTTTGGATTGAATATAATTAAATTTAATAATATAAAAATACTATTGAGATCAATTCAAGCCCTAGTAATAGTGAATGAAATTGAGTTAAATATTGAGAGATTTAAGTTTAAAATATTTTACCACAGCGGACGAGATCGAGACTCAGAAGGGCGCCTCGGCCGACAAACTCATGACGCGATCGCCACCGAGTCTGTTACCTCAGTCGGCTGAAGTCAAGCAAATAAGTCAGACAATTAGCATTATGTTAAAATTCAAATTATAATAATTATGAAATCCATACGGTTAGTTAGAGCTTCTATTGTATTTAGAGCAGTTTCCATAACCGCTCATCTCTTTATGTAATTATATAAATATGTTTCTAGAAATGAGAGACAAAAATATGAACAAGGTGATTTTTATCTATTTTCCAATAAGATGAATTAAGCGGAGAAATATTTATACACATGCCACTCAATTTCTATGTAATTATATATCTATCAACTAAACTTTAATTTTTACATATATTGCATATTAATAAAGTATGGAACAGATATATTTTACTTTTAAATGTTAAAATAAAAATATTTTTGATGTGATATAGAATATTTTCATTGTAAATATAGGAGATAAAATTTAGAAATTGGGCATGTAAATAAATATGAATTAGTTGGTAAATATGTAAATGCCTTTCAAAACAAAATTTTTTTTAGGTAAATGTCCACACTAACAGGAAAATTTGAATAAAAAATATATAAATTTGAAAGTAACTCAACAATTAAAAAGTAAATACCCAGATTCGTTCGAAAATTTTTTTCTGACGAGCGTTTTTTTTTGTCCGGACTCCTAACATAGCTCTACGTGCGGCGTAGGCTATTCTTAAGTTATTTTCAGGTTATTTCTACGTTATTTTCAATAATACCGAAATAATTAAGAAATAAACCGTGGTCTTTATTTTTGAGATATTTCTCGGTATTTTTTACTGCACATGAAAATCTCGCACGGGTCCCGCAAAGATTTTCTATGGCCACGTCAGTGTCTCCTTCTATGGTCCCTTTTTCCAGTCCTTAAAAGGAAGAGTGTCCATCCAGTCCAATGAGCGGCTCAGCGACCGTCTGGGGCTAATGGCCTTATCGTAATTGTTACGTAATTGAATGGCATTATGTGGCAGTTCGAACGTCTTCGTACATTTAGCGTCCGGTAAAAAAAATTAGGACCCACAATTAGGACCCCCACGCTGTAAATTCTCTCTCTCCGCCATTTGTTGACGTTCGCCGTTCTATCCAACTCCTTCGTTTCGGTCTCTTAAATCGAAGAAGAAGAAGAAGAAGAAGAGGAGGAAGAGGAGGGTGTAGGCATTTGTTCGAAATGGAAGAAAGCGGAGAAAAATGGTACTTCGATATTTGCAAGATTTGAGTCGCGGAGGTCGATCCCTTCTATCTCTGCGCTCCGGCGGTCGCCGATGCTTGTGGTATGTAGCTTCTCAGATCGAGCAATCCTTTGTCTTTCATGGTCTTCGGAATGAGACGCATGGCCGCGTGTTTTTAGCTTGTCTTTTTCGTTGAAGGTTTCTCTAATGTAGTGTTTTTGGTTAATCATGCTGGGTTGCAAATTGGGTTGTCAATGCATTGTGGTGATATTTCTTTCTTCGTCTTCTTCGTCGGGTTTGATTTTTTTCTGGTTTTATTTTTGTTTTTTTTCTTCATTATTAATTTTAGTTTTTGTTGTTTGTTGTTTTGGTTTTCTTAAAAAGGATGGTATAAGTTAAAAAAGGATAATGAGAAACTGTTGGGATCCCGTAACGGTTTACATGTTTCTTAAGGCCCTTTTTTTATCTTATTTTTGTAATTTATAATCAGCAAGAACGAGTAATCTTGGGAAGTTCTTATTGGAGTTATCTAATTCTGGAATTTTGTGATTTCTCCGGAATACAGAGCGGCTGTTTTGAGGATTTGTTAATTAAATGTGGCATAGGGTTTGTGCGTCTTTGGATTCAACCAATTTTTATAGTTTGGATAGGAAATGATTACGTTGAATTTGGCGGAACAATATAATTTAAGTGGCTGCGCTTTTTTTTTTTTCTGTCTTATTCCTTGACGTAGAAAAGAAGTTATATCCTTGTCATCTTTTTTGTTTGTGTTTTGTCTTCTCGATTCTATTGAATTCATGTTAGAGATTAGCAGTTATCTTACGCTTGCCATTTGTTTTCTTTTTCTATGTATTTTAGAATATTAGACATATCTACTTCTCTCTATCTCCCCCTCCCCCTCCCTCTCCCTCTTTCTCCGTTTAATTTCAGATCAGTTTGGATTTAACAGACTTTCAGATTCTTTAATAGAGCTTGCTATGCGCCTAAACCTGCTGCTGTGATTGCATCTTTCTTTCGAATGGAATATTTGGCTCTGTTTTTTTTTTATCGTTAAGATAATATTTCTTTTGGTTAAAAGAAGTATAATAGTTATTCTGGTTAACATTTTCATGGATATCTTTGTTCGTTACATTATGTGGTTTATTTCTCATTTCACTGTTTTTGTTAGTGTACTTTATTAAGGGCTATATTTAGATCCTGGTAAACTAAAAAGAGGGAGTAAGATGCTTGAGGAAATTAATTCTATACTGAAAATTCAACAGCTATTCATATTCCCATAGGAATTTACCGTTATGATTTTATTTTAATCAGATTTTTATTGTTAAATAAGTTAGGCAGTCTTGGATTTATATCATGAGAGTTATGTAATTTGTTTGTAATGAAATAAAATATACTCTGCCTTTTGAACTTATTTGATGGCCCCATCATTCCAATCAGTGCTTTCCATTGCATGCAATCATCCCCTGCAGCTTTCGGCTTTGCATGCTTATTTTCCTTATCAGTTTGTATTAAATAGGAAGCGAACAATATATGCAGCATTTGCATACATCTGATACAGCTCTGGATGATAATTATGCCTTGTAATACTCCTGTTCTAGGTGAAACATATATATATATATATATATATATATATATATATATATTACTTGCTTTTGATTATATGTTCAAATAGATTGAAGCTATTGTTGTACCCAGATGTGATGCTTGGAGTGTTTCTAAATTTTTATTTAAAAATATTTTTACAAGATATGGAATGACAAGAGTAATCATTACTGCTTCAATGCAGTTGCAGTGGGTCTGTTAATGAGCGTAATCTACTGAGTGGGGTCAAATGTGCCCACTTTTTTCCTCGTTAGAGGTTTGAGCAGGATGAGCTGAGAGAGGGTTGTTATTGATGTTTGACTGAGTTGTTGTGTCCGGTAGAACAAACTGCAATCATCCCCTGCAGCTTTCGGCTTTGCATGCTTATTTCGGTATCAGTTTATATTAAATAGGAAAAATATATGCAACATTTGCATACATATGATACAGCTCTAGATGATAATTATGCCTTCTAATACTCCCGTTCTAGATGATATATA